ATACACAAAATATCTCGATTTAAAGTGATTGAAACCAACATAAGTGTTAACATCTCTCAGCCAAGAAGTCAGCGAAATATGTGTAATTTCAGAAATTATCCTCTTTTCGGGAATGTCATTTATTTTGAAGCCTATTTATATTCAGTAATATATCCGCTTACGCAAATTGTGGTGTACGTTTAAAAATGAAGATTATTAACCTTGATTTGAGTTTAGCAATGGATAAACATCAGACCCTCGGTGAAACCGAATGTGAATAAGAATTGACCAATTGTGAAAATAGGTTCTAGTTTTTCAGTCCAAACAATGCGCATTTTTAGCAGCCTTCACATAACACTTAGAAATGCTGAAACTTCATACCTGTCCGGCTTCACTCGCTTTTTTTTCGTCGTCTCATGAGGTAATGGACTAAAATAAAAAATTTATTTTAGCATTTTCAAAGTTTGTACAATAATTGTATGCAAGCATAATTCACAATCATATAAAATTATTTCCGTCTTGTTTGAAAACAACGGTCCATCAAAATCAATCGATCATTTCACCTCTCTAACGGTCGATCGCTGATAATTTATCAGCAGTCTCTCAGAGTGACATAACATATGCTTAGAGAACTGAACGTTTGTTAGCAGCGACAAGCTGAGCTGAGCTGTCCCATTTCATACAGTGAAAAATATTCGTCAAATACAGACCAAAGCGTCGCTGTCAGCTTATTACAATCACAAAGCGGCATTTCTGATCGTAATAAATAATCCGAGGCTTGCTTTTTTCTCAGGACGACTGACGACGTACAAATAATAAATTTCAGTGTTCAAGGGGTTCCTTAAAACTTGTTGTATAATGTACGTAAAGGTGCTACTTTAAACTCACAGCCAGAATCAAACTGTGAAAGAAACAATCATACACATGTCATTTAATCAAGATCTCAAATTCCTACTCTTTGCCAATGGTGTAGCGTATACAAGATGCAAATAGGGTCACCCTCTCAAATTATGTTTTAAACTTGTAGATGCACCTCAGAGGAGGTTTTCGTACGGGTCTAGGCGTTAGTTTGTTTAACTGATTTGTTTTATTTAACTATTTAAATAGTTTAGTGCGCATTGACTATAGAATCGGAATCAAGATCCTTCAGGTTTAAAGCAGTTTCGCTCATTCGTTTGAATGACGAGCGCTGTTTTGGACACGAGGCGTTGACTGCCTGTTTCTGCAATGTTCTAAACGCTTTGGGTATGAAAGCAAAGTTGTAGGAAAAT